AGAGAGAGAGAGAGAGAGAGAGGCACGGGCCAACCAAGGGGGGGGGCAAAGCAACCGAAAGAAAGGCATCGTGAGAGAGACAGACAGAGACAGAAAGACAGATTCAGAGATACTTAGGCAGAGACAGTGGAAGAGAGAAGGAAGGACAGTGGAAGAGAGAAGGAAGGGAGAAAGAAAAATTAAAGAGAGAGAGAGAGAGAAAGAGAGAGAGAGAGAGAGAGAGAGAGAGAGAGAGAGAAGGAAAGAAGAGAGAGGAGAGAGAAGAAAGTATATGTATGCATGTGTCTACATATCTTACGCTCTGACCGTTCCCTCATCTATCTGCTGCAAACATTTTTTCCCTGAGATACCCATTGAGATGGATGACCCTTCCGTCTCCATACACTTTACTGTCTCTCTCTCTCTCTCTCTCTCTCTCTCTCTCTCTCTCTCTCTCCCAATGTCTTTCTCCTTTTCAGGGACTGGAGATCAAAGGAAAAAATCGGAGACTTATTAATTACAATAATTATTTACCTCCCAATAAAGTGAAGGAGTTATTTCATTTTCAAGTAAATTCTAAACTCTAGTAGTGCAGTTTTGCTATGAACCAGGTCAACCATGGAGGAGAGACACTCCATCATTATCCTACATGGTATTGAACTAAAACTATTATAGCGAATCACTCAACTGTTCGCAAAAGTACCTGTGCTACGGGAATGAATGCAGATACGTAGGGGGAAACACACATACACACAAACACACGCACACACACGCACACACGCGCACACACACACACACACTCACACACACGCACACACAAACACACACACACACACACACACACACACACACACACACATACATACATACATACATACATACGTACATTTTTTGGTTCTTTCTATGGGGCGATGTTTACGTCTGAAAGAAGGTCCCAAAACTGTTCAAGACCCTACATTTTCTAAAAATATAGGTACTTTTATTCCCCAATCGTCACAGTTTAGATAATTTAGGAGGTCGGCTTTGACGCAGGACGTCAGGTCTGGGAGGGAAACTACATTTCAGCACAAAGACGGATAAATTCGATGAAAAGTCTCCCCACACGGGAATCGAACTCGAGTCTTCTGCATTCGACGGCAAAGCGCATAACCGTTTAAGCACAGACGCTGTTCGCTGTGACTGTCCATGTGTAGTTGTAACAGCTAACCCAGCAATACACGAAATAAAATCAATTAAATAAAATACCTGTCATTCTTAGTAAATTCCAACTGAACTGAAACATCTAATACAGCCTTCCCCTTCGAGTACCTTTAATGTAGTCCAGTGCTTATCAACCTAGGTAATATAGCTTGTGGGTAATTTGATAATGGTGTGGGTGATGTGGATTCCCCCGAGCAGTATTAGGAATCATGTCATACCCCCCCCCCCCCCCACCCTCTTGGAAATGCATGTACATTTTAGGTAGACTGTTCGAAAGTTCTAACCTCTTTAGACGTTGCTATCAAAATTGGAGCTTGCTTTAAAAAAAAAAAGGGTGACAAGCGTCATTCCAAGTCGAAGGAAAGAAATTTGTGGAATTTCAGAAATGCCTCATCTTTCAGTAACACCGTATTTGGTTACTAAGACCAGTCATAATTTGACAGGGCCATGCGGAAGGGGAAACGGCAGCAGGGTCCGACCCATGGAGAACAGGGACAGGCCTCGACAGGTTGACATGTGGGGGAGGTCGCAGGATGGACTGTCTCAACTACAGGAGGGGTTTTTTTTGTGAAAGATCAGGAGTTCTGGTTATATGTGTGGAAAGGATAGGTTGAGTGTGTGAGTTCGAGAGTATGGTGTGTGTGAGGGGGTGGAGGGTAGGGG